CAGCAGGGTCCACTCGCCTTGCGTCTCAATTTGAACTAGTGCTTTGTGAGGCAGCCTGGAAACTTCCTGTGTAAACCACCTATGTTTCCTTCTAGGGTCCTGGTTATTTTACCTTCAAGTTGGTACAAAGTGTCTCATAAAATAGCATCAAGATTGTCCCTTCACCATTAATCATGTCACTCTGTGGCCCTACCACCCCTTTCTGTAAAGACATACTTTTTAATATTTCAGTGGGCAATTTGTTGTTTATTTCATTCCTTTTGCATTTTGACGCAGTTCCTCCAAGTACGGCTAGAAATAAGTAGAGAATATTTCATGCTTGTGGTTCCCCCATGAATTGGCCTGGTTTCCTTTTTCTTCAGGGCCACCGTTTGCCCTTTCTTAAAACTGTCTTAGAATATTTTCATATAGTTTTGATTTTTGTTTGTTCTTTTTTCAAAAAATCAAGACTGTGATTCAGACATCTGTGCCCCCTCACCTGCTGTGATTTGTCTGTATTTTCTACAGAAGATAATCATTGTTTACAGTTGAGATTTTAGATGTTTCAAATTCTTGTTGGAGAATCTGAGTTTTATGACAAATGTGTTTGATGTAGTTGATGTTTCCAGGCTAAGTTTTTGCTTTGCAGGAATGAACATTTTAATTAACATTTAAATAATCTCAAGCAGGAATATTTGCTAAAAAAATTTTTTTAAAAAGTCAGATTTCAGACACATTATGAAAATGAACTTTTGCATTAGAAATGAAATCATTTATTGCTTCAAGTAGAATATCTGAATGACTGATTTCAATATCAATTTCAATATTTCAATATCCTTCCTACAGGTATTTCTTTTTAAGTCCAGAGTAGCCCTTGACTTCACCTTACATTGAATCATAATAATCATAGTGTGTGGTTTGAGTAGTAATTATTTTCTCATTAATTGTCAAGTTACTCAGAACATCTGAAGGTTCAGTCACTAACTCCAGGAGTCTCCACTGCCATTGTCCTAAGCTTGGTCTCCAGGGGACTGCTTCTCAGACACTTCCACAAATCACAGGGGGATCCTGAAAAATGCAGCTTCGGATCCAGTAGGTCCGGGTGGGGCCTAAGAGTCTGAGTCTAACAAGCTTGCTGTCGATGTTGCTGGTCGGTCTGGATCACACTGTGAGGAGCAAGGACCTCTAAAGCTATCTCCGGGCCAGGGCCTGAATTCAGAAATGTCCTGATATTAAAATTTAAAAAAGAAAGAAAATAGGAGCCCAACAAGAGGAAGTGAGGACGAAACTAGGGGTAATGAATGAAAGGAAAAAGAAAGACCTTTGAGGAGCTAGAAGGCATTTCTTGCGGAGCTAACAAGAATAGCAGGGCGACCATGTGTAACGTAGGATGAGGGAAGGGAACCTCACTTTTACTGTCTCGTGTGCAACCTGGATCTGACCTAGCACTGTCTGTTTATGTAGCATGTATATGTATATGTATATGTGCATATGGATGCATATGTCTCACATATACAGAGATATGTGTCTGTATGGGGGATGGGGGGGATGGATAGGTAGGTAGGTAGACAGACAGATATTCTGCTTTATTCCAAAAAGGTTTGAAGAGGTTTTTTAAAGCTAGACTAGGGGCTCTCACGTGCACATATTGTTTTAATCCAAACAACCCTTTAAAAAATACATACAGAAAGAGATGAAAAAGGCTGAGGCTTGGGGTAATTTTTTGTGAACACAGCTCTAGGACTCTGACTTCAGAGCTCTGAATATCCAAGCTTTGACCAGAGAGCTGGACACAAGTGGAGGGAGGAGAGGACCGGGAAGTAAAGGACAGCGTGGAGCCTAGGGTGAGGCCGTGCACAAGGAGAAAGAGTGAGAGGAGAGGATGTGGCAGAGACACACAGGCCCAGCGAGAAAGAGACGGGAACATGCAGGGCCGGCCAGGGCTGCAGTCCAAGTGGATAATTCCAGCCCTGGGAGCAAACAGAGGTGACCCATTTGGCAGCCTCCGCCTCTCGGCAGAGGGGTTGTTCTCCCCTCTTTCCTGCCAAGGCTGCTTCCACAACCTTTTTGGCCCTGGCTGGTGTAGCCTGGTTCTTTCCAGTCCCCTAAACTACACAAGCAGCGACAAGCCGCTTGCAGGGCTCCAGGTGGGAGAAGCTGGGTCGCAGAAACTTGGGGCCCCGAGAAGCTGCTTGCCCCGTTCCCGCCGGGACTCTGAGCCAAGGGCGTCCGTTCTTAGTCTCCTCCTCTGCCTCTGATCTGCTTTTGGCTCAGTAGATCCTTTCAAATCTCCTCCACTTACTTTCCTCGATGAAACAGGTTGGTTTGTCAGAGACCAAGTGCCAATGAAACACGTGGAAATAGAGCGGGGACAAGACCTTACCACCCACCCAAAATCGGAGGGAAAATGATTAGAATCGGGAAAAAAAGAAATTTATATTTACTGTTAACACTTTAGAATCCTGAAGAACCAAGCTGTTACATATCTGCATAATTTTCTAGCTGAATTCTTGTCTGGAGACTTGGAGGAGTATTTGGAATGAAGGTGAAGGGCAAGAGCATCCCAAACTCGGCGAATCCATCTTGCTCACACCTTTATTTCCATATATTTCTATGCAAAAGCCAGTTGGGCCCAAGAAGTAAGGTATTGGGTGCCTGCCTGCCAAGCAGTATTACTCAATAGAAGTCTATTTTCGGCAAGGAGCATGAGATTTGTCCTTTAATTATGAGTGTTTGACATTATAGTAGGAAGGACTTATTTTTAAATTTTATTATTATTATTTTTTAGTTATACATATTCATGTGGTATAACTAAATAAATATTTAGTTATAAATATAGGTCTCCTTGCCCCTTCCTTTGCTCTTTCTTTCCTTGGTGCCCAGAGGCGACAACATCCAACTCCCATAGCTTTCTTTATGTGTTAACCTCCATATCTCTAAATACCAGGCACTTGAGTGCTATTTCTTCATATTTATATTTAGGCACTACTGATTTATCACCATGCAAGGGTTTATATCCCTTTCACAGGGTTCTCTGGACCCTACCATCACTATCACCACAGACATGAACTCTATTCTCTCCTCTCCCCCAAATTGTTGTATCTTAACTTTGATTAGATCAAAATCTAGATGGAAGTGGAGGTTAGGAGATTATCTGCTTTCTAAATAATGTGCTGGGCAGTGTCAGGGAGACCAGGTGGCTGTACTGGGGTTAATGTACCTTCAATCAGACAATGTGCCCCTAGGTCCTAACACAGTGGCTGGCATCAAAAAAGATATGCAATAAATATATGTTGGACTGATGAATAAAAGTGGCCTTCCTACTTTACCATATGCCTTCCAAACTGTGAGTAACCCTTTGGGATTTCCTCCTTACCACTGCCTTTAAAGATGGCTTTTGCCCAGGTTTAGCTGAATGTTTTGATAGAGGGAAAAACATGTTGTTAGCCTAGGGTGAAGCCAAATCATGCTATTTTAAGAATGGCTATCCAAGTCCAGTTCAGAAGAGGCCCATTCATTATTTGAATTCATAAGTATCCCCCTGCACATTCACCAAGACAATTTCCTCTCCAAGTCACTAGCAAGCTCCTTTCTTTGATCTGATGTAATTGCTGGAAAAGGAGTTTATTTGAGAAAGAACAAAGAATTGAGCTATAGGTTGGTTAATAGGGATGGGATTGCTTATTGGCAAGTGCAGGAAGCGCTTGCATAAGAAGTGAACCGTTTACGTCAGTGGAGTGGAAGAAGGTATCCAACTCCACATGGCCCCAGGAGCTCCGCAAAGGGTGGTCTGGCAGAGTTTGCACACACATATAGATAATGTTGTGGGGAACTGGAGAACCCTTTTCTGGCATCTAAGAGATGTACTTATCTGGTAGTTCCTTGAAATTCCTCAGCTAGAGTTTTATTTATCCAGCCTAGGGATATTACTTGACCTCAGCTTGTATAACAGGACGAAACATTGGTAATGGCTTCTGGAAACCTGTATTGAGAAAAGTTCTGAGGTCATATCTGGGTTCATTGAGAAAGTGTCGTCATAAGTTAGCAATGTTGTTTATGAGTTTTGACATGGGGATTGGTGGCATGCCACATAGTTACTATCCTCTTTAAGGCTTTTTTGTTTGTTTTGTTAAAATCTAAGTAATTAGATCTAAAAATCCCATTTAATCTTCACATAAACTCTGTGAGGTAACTACTGTTACAGTGTTTCTTTTTTCAGATGAGGAAACTAGGGTCTAGACATACTAAGTTCTTTAAAGTAGAAAGCCAGTTAGTCATGAAACTTATATTTGAACATATGCCTACCTAACTCCAGAGCCCAAGCTCTTAAGAACCACACAATTTTCCCTAAGAATTCTGGAGTGCTGATGTTTAACAGTTATCACTCATTTATACCCTAGAGTGAATGAGTTTCTCCCTATTGTCCTAACTAAGATGGGAAAATACAGAAGATTAATAAGGTTGGTAGGGCTGAAGACAAACTTTAGCTACTTTATAACAGTAAGAGTTAATCTTAGTATTAGTATGGAAAATACCACTTAGTATATGACTACTCGAGTCAAGGAAATATGGATTATTTCTGGACCATTTTTAAGGATGGAATGCAGCACATCTATACCTTGGGACCTGACCCAAGTAGGAGTACTATTATCAAATGAGACTTTTCACCCCTTAAAACCTTTTATTCTAAAAGTATAGATGTTAATCACTGTATCACGAGATTCTAAAGGCAGGTAATTATATTTTGTTTTCCTTAAACACCTAATGCATGTTCTTTAAATGGGATGATCACTCTATCTATGGAAATATATTACTGTCGCTTTCCCCAAGTATTTATTTCTGTAATTAACTATTAAAATCATTTGTAAATATGCAATTTATTGCATTCCTGTAACACAGTTTGGATTTTACCCGAAGACAGAAAAAAAAAATACAAACCAAAAAAACTTCAAATATTTTTATTTGGTATTAGAAATGTCAGAATATGGTTTTATTTCTTGCCTGTTCTTTTTATTTTACAGAAAAATCTGTCATTGCTCAACCAATATTTGTTTTTGAAAAGAGAGAACAAACATTTAAGGTAAGATCAAGCTACTTTTCTTTGTTTGATTTTTCCTTTGACAAACGAAATTGTATTTCAAGAAGTTAGCTATACTAAATGATACCCCTGCTGAATAAGTTTATTTTCGGATTCTTCTCTTAGCAGAGTAGTGCCTCCAGAATATTTATGTAGTAGGGATTTACTGACAGCAATTTAGCTGAGATGGGAAGCCAGTGACCTTGTCCTGAAGCTATGCTATTTTTACTAAATTATACAATTTTTTTTGGAGTGACTTGGAAAAGGGAGGGACTGAAAGAGATCGGTAGGGCTAAGGCTCCTCATGGGTCTCCACCACTAATCCAGTCTAAAACTGGGTATTAAGTAAATTGTAAACTGCGATATTCTATTTAAAATGGCACCTTCAGGACCCTATCTGTTCTCTCAGCATCCTACTTGCTTTGAAAGACCAACACTAAGATTAGTAGCATTCTCACTTTATCTTAGTTAGTATTTCCTTTTATTTGTTCTTGCGTATGCAGGTAATGAAGATCACAACCCCCAAAACTAACTAACTATAGAAACCTTAACCCCTAAGCCCTAGTTGAAATATCAGATTCATGGGCCCCACCCCAGGTCAACCACATCAGAATCCCAAGAGCTGGTCCCACAAGGGATTCTGTAGACACTGAAATATAAATCCGCTCTGCCAGCCTTGGCTTGTTCTTGAAGACACGACTAGTGAGTCAAAGTGAGCAGCTTTGTCCTGGCCTGGCTGGATAGGCCTGGCTGTGGAGGATTCTCTTATGGAGTGACAGGGTTGGAAGTCTGGTATAAAAACAGCAGACAGCTCTCACTGGCAGCTTCCTTTCCTTCCAGAGACCTGCAGAAGAAGCCCTGTATGAAGCAGCAGAACCTGGTAACGATTTAGATCTTGTATTTCAAAATCAACCTTTGTACAAAGAAAATAAGCAGGCGCAAGCATTTTGGCATGTGGCACAAACTACATAAAACATAATGGTTTTTCTTGTGTTTAGACATGAACGTGTTATGTACTCACACATAATAAGGTAGACGGGTGTCGTATTGTAAAATCGCACACTGGAAATTTATATAATGAGGTTAATCGATGTTATCCCAATAAATTTAATTTTAAAAAATTTCTACAAGAAAATGTAGCTTAAACTGTATTAAAACTCGAAGTGAAAAATATTCTATTAAAACATGAGAACTAAATTTTTCAGAACAAAGAAAGCCTGTGGAACTAATCCAGATTAAAGGAGACGAAAGACTTGTGAGAGTCAAAGGCTGTATGTGATTCTGGACTGAATCCTGGACTGGGGAGGAAAATGTTTTTAAGGACATTATTAGTCAATGGACAAAATTATGGTTGGTGGGTTGGATGAGAGTATTGCAAGTTATGTTAACTTTCTTGAAGGTGATCATCATACTGGGATAATATAAGAGATGCTCTCGTTCTTCGGTAATACACACTGAAATATTTAGGTGTAAGGGGCATAAAACACCTAGCTGAATCTGAAGTAATTCAGAAAAATACGTATGTAGGTAATGATAAATCAGATGAGGCAAAATATTGATAATTGGTGAATCTGGTTAAAGGGTCTATGAGAATTCTTTGTACTATTTTTCCAACTTTTCTGTAAATTTGAAAATACTTCCAAATTAAAATAAAATTAACAAACAAACACACATGAAAGTAGACTGGCTGTTGTTTTAAGAGATGACACGAGAGTCCCTGAGAACAGTAATATTAGCAACTCTAAAACCCCATGATTCTCTACTGCCTTTGTTTCAACGTACCAGAAACATTCTCTATACAATCTCAGAATTCATATCCAATTTCTTGTTGAAACTACTTGTTTCTGATGGTTTCGTAGTAGGATGATGCGCCTTTCAGTTCATAATCACCCAGCTATTAACCCCAACATTTAAAATCGTGCTCAAGGAGTTAATGTATTATCCAATGCTAATTTGTAGAGACAGAAGGAAATTCCATTTATCCCACCATATCATTGGTTAAGGATAATTTGTTAGTAGAAGCAATTTTACCCTCCGCATTGAATTTCTTGCAGAATGTAATGGTTTTTCAAGGAAGCGCATGCGATCTTCATCTTTCTGTTTGCATACTGCAGATTCTCGGTCCCAAGGAGGTAGGTAAAGCATCGATGGAGAGTTCATGGTTACGTTTACTCTGAGAGTAAAATTTCTAAGAAACTTTTCAAATGGAAAACTTTAAAAAGTCTACCCCCTGGATAGTGTTTATAATATTTGGTTATATGAAAATAGCAGATTATCTTCATATAACCATACAGTGAGTACACTCAATTGGTCAACATTGAAAAAACCCTGAAAGGATATAAGGCGGTGTTAGCAATGGCTATGTTGGGTACTGGGATTATGAGTGATTTCGTTTCACCCCTCCCCCCTTTTTTATTTTGCTACATTTACAAAGTTTCTGTATTAAGCATGTATTAGCTTTGTAGGGAAAATGACCATTTTCTCCTAAGTAACCATCTACTTAAAGAAATAGATGTTTGCCTTTTAAAAAGGTACTTTATTCTAAGAACATCATGTTGTGCTGTATTCTGAGTGAATCGGTGACTTAGTTTCCCTCTCTGCTGCACTCAAAGCACTAAGTGATTCCTTTTATGATTGACTGTGTGGCCCTCTGCCTTGCGATACAGCTGTTTACGTTACATCTGTCTCCTCCGCCGTAAATTCCTTGAGATTACCTTCATGCCCGATAGAGTGTCTTAAACATGGTGAGCACTCACCTGTTTACTGAACTGGATGAAAATTCATGTATAATCCCTACCAGGGTTACACTTTATTTTTATTGATAAAACTACAAATATTTTTCTAAATTAGGGATGTAGGAAATTCCCCGAAACAGCAAAAATCCAAATCAAAAGAAATACAAAAGCCCACTTCCTAACTGACTTCGGTTTGCAATCTGCTTTTAGTGTCTACCTTGACCCAGAAGCAAATGAGATCATCGCCCTTCACTGACCTCCCAGCCTTCCCCCCATCTGGGCCAGGTAAGTTTCTAGAACCTCTGAGCCTGATGCTCTGACTTTTCCAAATCCATTCTCATTAGGGATGACCTTTCTTTCTCAGCTACTGTAAAATGCTGACATTTTAGCGGCAAATAAAATAGAGGCCTTAGCAAAATATGCATGGAAGAATACCTTAAGAACACCACAAATCCAGATAGTATATCTGTTTACTTTTGGTAGAAAGTTTGAACTTGATGATTTTTTAAGGATTTCACATTTATGATAGCAATATATTGTATAAGGCAGCCCTATAATAGAGCTTGCTTTATTATTACTGCCCATGTATACGGTTTATAATATACATAGTATTCAAAATATACAGCTATGCTTTAGATCCTTATTCTAAAGTTTATGCTTTAGATTTGTATTTTGAAGTTCAGAATATAAATCCCTTTGTACTTTTCACTGATTAAAACATTGCTTCCTTTTTATTTGAAAAGTTTAATGCTTTGCTAAGTAAACCTGTTTTATTATAGTAAAATATTTGAAATTGTTGGAACGTTTTCTACATTAAAGTTATGATTTATATTTCTCTGTGTTTTTGTTTCTACTGAAGAACCAGCTGCCTTTTCCAAGTTAAGCTTGCCACTAGAAACAAAAAATACAAACTATTTACTTCCTTTTACCTGATCCCCATGTACCTGGGAAACCACTAAATACTCAAATTAATGAATTTATATTCTTATTAGTCATTCCAAGCATGACTGAGCAACACTATGTCAGACACCTTTCAGATACAGACGAGATACTTTCTGACTCAGTAGGCCCCCTCTAAGCCTTACTGATACATTACAGAGGATAGGAGTCCTAATCCTAGAGGATTTGTTTCACTGTTTGTGCATAAAGCAAAGGGATGGCTTTAAGTTGTCTAGATAACTGTTTTAATTCTTCTTATTTTAATCTGATAGAAAAAAATCAGATACACCAAAAAGAAAGAATGAATAAAGAAGCATTCGTAACAGCAGGCACCATTGCTTTGTATGTAGTGCAGAATGTTGGTGGTGTTCAAACGGAGGAGAATTGTATAATTTTATATGGTCCATTCATTGTTACTTTTCAATAATAAAGATTATAAACACCATTTAACTTACTTTTGAATTAGAGAAGCAATTCTACCCCAAATTTATAATAGGTTATAATACTTTAGAGACGCAATTCTCATTCTTTGCTCATCTCCATTACTCAAATGCTCAAAAGTGGCTATTTCTGCAATTTGCAACCACGGGGTGATCTCTTTGAAATGTACAGTAATTCCGTACCTGTAGCCACCACCACAGTCTTAGCCTAGAGGCACACTCCATAGAAAAGTAGCGTACATAATGGTTTCACTTCTATCTTCAGGTATTATTAGAGAGGTGAGAGGGACAGAATTTGCTAACAATTCTTTAACATTCTGTAAGAAATATATGTTAATACACACAGAGGGTTCATTATTTAGATTTTCTAATCTGTAGAATTTGCCTCAGTGCTCTATTTCATATTGTAAAGATGGTCTATTCTGCTAGTGACCTAATTTTCACTTACATTTATGAGAGTGCACAGAACTATGTATCAAAACTCATCTTGCCAGAGCGCACTTTTAGCAGAGTCAGCGCGATCTTGTACGCGGCCTGCTCCTCTATTAATGCGAGCAGTGACATCTACTGGTGAGTTCAGTGCAAGACTGTAAAAACCTAACTCAGAAACTGACCCACTCTCACAGATTTAAATTTTTCTGAATATTTTTTTTCTTACAGTGAAGAAAAACAACGTTTTTATGACGCCAACTCTTGTGCAAAGGAATGTTGATGTGAACAGTGCAGAACAAAGTATGTAGTTTCTCTATTACGAAAACCTCAGAAATTGCGTTTTAACATCTGTATTTTAATCTGCTTCTGTATTGGGGGTATGGAGGTAGGGTTGAGTGACAGAACATGAAAGAATATATTTGATAAGCCAAGTCCCACGGTCAAAATGAATAGTTATTGGGTAAAATCTTGGCTGGAGGTAAGTAGGAGGCAATTCACAGGCTATTTTGACTTTGATTAGTTAACCATAATCATTAAATTAGTCAAAAATATGGAGAAAGAAGTATTTCACTAAAGATATATTGACCCTTGAATTCTGTTCCTGAAGGTCCTGTGAAACATTCTGAACGGGTTCTAAGACCTGCTATTCTGCAGCCACCTGGAAGTCGCAGGTGTGAAAAAATAAGACACAGTGCGTCGGAACACTGCAGTACCAAAGAAAAACCAAAAAATGAGGTAAGAAAGCCCCCCCGGTAGGACTGACCTCAGTCCCCCGTCCTTCCCTTCGCAGGCTGCTGTGGGCCCCACAGCCAGAATTAGGGGCTGTCTGAGCTTCGTGCTGTTGCAGAGCCAGCTGCCCAGCTGCCCAGCTGGAGGGACACCTGGACCAGACAGCCAAGAGCCCTCAGTGACCTTGTCCCACTGCCCTCTTAAGCTGGAGAGTTATTCCCAGGCGCAAGTCTTGCGGGCTCTGCGGAGCTGCAAAGCTGCGTCCCACAGGGCGGCGGGAACCCTTGTGGCCTGTTCCAGCGCCCCGACCCCACGTGAGAGCTGAGCCATGAGGTGGCAGCGCTGGGGGTCAGGAGCCAGAAACGGGGCAGGGGTTTCTGCATCCCCAGCTGCTTGGCATCCTAGTGCGGCTGCGCTGGCTTAGGGCGCACCGGGGATCCCCTGCAGACCCATCTGCGTGGGTGACAGGAGCAGGGGGCTACCTAGCTGGGAGGGCTGGGGAAGCTCTGGAGACGGGTGACAGTTCTCTCCTCTAGCTGTGTGGGTGACCGAGTCACGCGCCGTGGGCCTTTTAAAGGAGATAGTGGTTTTGCTCAGGCCACGCAGATCGGGTGGGGGAGAGTCTGCTGCTCTAGCTCTAGCTGTGTCCTCCAGAACCTGATGCTTCAGGGAGACGAGACACAAGATAAGTGAGTTGGATGTGAGAGTTAATTCCATCAGGCATTTATTTCCAGCTAAACTATCGAGGGTTGGTCACCTCGTTTTGTCTTTCCTTACTGAACATAAGGACAGCAACCCATGGAGTGTTCAAAATACCGGTGATTTCATCAATTCAACGAAAAGAAATCAGATTGTTAGTAATCCTGCCTCTGCTACTATCTGTGTCTGCTTTCTTGGAAAAAAGCACCCAACCTTCTCTTTCTATTAGTGAAGTGAGGGAGCTGAACGTAGTTGACCTTTGCCAACGCTTTTATATTTCTAAATCTTTCTTTTGGTAAGATATGATTTCATGAGATCCATTGTGAATTTTAAACACCCATTTTACCATTTATGCATGGTTTATAATGTGATTTTTAAGTAAAATGTTTTAAATTTCAAATCAGTATAATTATTAAAATTTTTGATTTTTAGGAATTATCACCATATAAATTCTTTTATCTATTTAAGAAGTGATGCATAATGTTTAATTTTTTAGAAGTTTATGAGAAAAATATGATGTGTTGACTCATTTTTAAAATGTTACGTTGCATTTGATTTTGCAACAGCATTACCATAAATTATAGATTAAAACTTTTGTTACATGTTATGATATCAAAGTAAATTTTCTTCTTTGGTATGATGTTTTAAATCTTCATTGCATATTTAAATAATAAAATTTTAGATAGTTCTTGCATTTTCTTCCTAAGTGATTAAGCGTAAGAGAAAATGTCAGGCTATTGTTTGTAAGCATTGCTTCTTGAATAACTTATTAAGATTATGAATTGAACATATTCTTAATTGGTGAAAAGCCTAATTGGATATGCCCATTATTGAATTTTCTATTTAATGATGATCCTTGAAGATCTAAAGAAAAGCTAAATGCTGTGTAAGAATTCTGACAAAATAGATGTAATTTATAGATCTAGTGAAAATTACCTCTAGGTGAATTTTATAGAACCATTATTTTGATGTTCCTTATTAACTCGTATATCAAAATCAGAGAAATTTTTATACATCCTGTCATTAATCAGTTGTCACTTATTGTGTATAATTTAAACCATATATGCCTAATAAAAACTATTTTAAGCAACATAAGAGTAAAAACTATGACCTTGGCTAAGCGATAAATCCTCATAGTGACTGAGTCATGGGTGTGTATTTTGATCTTTGCTAACCAATGACACATACTCTCTTGATACATATTTCTCAGCTCTCAAATTCTGTTACAATGGGGAAATATTCAAAATTATTTCTATTGAGCGATATAAGATTAAAGTGGAAATAGAGCCCATCTTCCTTTAAAGGCATGAACTCCCTACAACATCTTTGCAAACCTCCGGTAGGGAAGGAAGTGTCCACCAAGCACTGGAGACACTAGATGAGATCATTCTAGGGCTCCTTCCAGTTCTAGAAGTGCTCACTCCTTCATTTACACATTAATGCAGGTAATGTGCTTACGTATATACACATCAGAGTGACTAATCGATTAAGTTAACAGTCCAAAGTTTCTAGGGGAAGAGGTGGAGTTTCCTCTCATGTTGATTGAATGGTGGTGACGGTGAAGCTCTTAGGGTGCTTCCAGTGATTAAGTAGACGTGAAAGGTAGATTTACTAATCTAGAACTGAGAATGAACTCCACTGGGTTAAAAAGGTAAAAGAAACAAAGGAGTGAGATTCCTGAAATATTATGATGAAGTGTCAGACAGAGACAGGCTCGAACGTTGGCCCCATTCCTGGTTGCCCAGGCCTGGCCAAGTTATTTAAACTCGTTAGGTTTGTTCACTCATCTGTAAAATGTGGATAATAATAGGTGTACAAAGTATGTAGAGTTGTTGTGAAGAGAAAATGAAATAATATACGTATAATACTTAGGACAGTACTTGAACACAGTAAATTTTCAATACATTTAACTATAACTATTGTTTCCTTGCCTGATGCCCCCCTAGGAAGCAATTTAAATGAACTTGTTGATGGATTTCTTTTCTTTCAGATTTCTGAGAGGAACTCCTACTTGCTAAGTGAAAATTTACCAAGTGCCAGCATTTCAGCCCAGCTATCTACTCACCAGATTCTTTTGGGTGCTACGTCAGTACAGTGAGTGCTGTCCCTTCGTTCTTGCTTTCTTTTATCATTAGAACCATTTACAGAAAATAATTTTCTGACATTATAGAGGTAAGTTGCCCATATTTCTGTCTGAAAGGAGATTTTTATAAAGAACACAGTTTAAAATGCTTGTCAAGGTGTCTCTAATATTTCAATATCATTAACATTGGTTGTCTCCATCACCTCATTGGCCTGGGGGGGAACATTTCGAATAGGTATACCTAAATTTCTACTTAGGTAAGCATTAATTACCTGGCTACTAGATTAGCCTTTTCTTCTCTTTCTCTGGCATTCTTTTTTCCCCTCTTTTTAATTATTTTTGGCCGTATTTATTGACATAGGTTGGATAGACACTAAAGAAAAAGGTGTAACTATGCAAAATGAAAGTTAATATTTACTGGTATCACCAGTGATGAAGGCACGTTTGATCCGAGAGATTAAAACTCCCGTGGACACACCTGGACCCGCACGCTTAGGCCTGTGCAGGGACCGCAGCGCTTACCTACTGCGCACGCGGGGGCGTTACGGGGACCCTGGAGCACATCTGCCTGCACACGGAGGGCTGCATGTCTGAGTCTCTCATCATGCAAAACACTTAACGTTAAAAAAAAAAGTTTCTGGGAGTAAAACAGCAAATTAAAGCAATGCACACCCAAGTATAACTGACAAAACACATTGGCTTTGCTTTTGCTTGGGAGGCCTCCGGTCACTAAAAGCATTGGCAATTTGGGGAAGAGGAGAGTGGAGAACAGAGACTGGAGAGTCTGTGCTGGAAGAGCTGGAAGATAAGGGCTGGGCAGCCCCCCTGGTTGGTCAGATTATGGCGATTACACAGGACTTGTTTGGACAGGTCTCAGCCTGTGTTGTAACAGCTGGCAACGATTTTGAAAATTTCCCTGAAAGTATGTATCTCAATTTTTTTTTCATTTCTCACGAATTTCAGATAATCAAAAGTTAGTAGTAGATGTTTTATATAAATCTATTTACTTTTCATAAATCTATTAAATCATCTGATAATTTCATTTGCTGAGGTTTAAAATGGCTTTATCCATAAATTTAAAATAGCAAATGCTATTGTAAATAATGTTGCAATGAGTATAGGAGCACATATATTTTTTTGAATTAGTGTTTTGGGTTTCTTCAGGTATATAGTTATTTACAATAGCCAAATTATGGAAGCAACCCAAGTGCCCATTAATAGATGAGTGGATAAAAAAGCTGTGGTACATATATACCATGGAATATTACTAGGCCATAAAAAGAATGAAACCTTGCCATTTGCAGCATCATGATGGACCTAAAGGGTATACGCTAAATGAAATAAGTCAGTCAGAGAAAGACAAATACCATATGATTTTATTTATATGTGGAATCTAAAGAACAAAATAAATGACAAACAAAACAGAAACAGACTCATAGATACAGAGAACAGACTGACGGCTGCCAGAGGAGAGGGGTGTTGGGACACTGGGTGAAAAGGAGAAGGGACTGAGAAGTACAGCTTGGTAGTTACAAACTAGTCATGGGACGTAAAGTCCAGCATAGGGAATAGAGTCAATTATATTTTAATAACTATGTATAGTGTCATGTGGGTACTGGAAATATCAGGAGGAATACTTGGTAAAGTATATGATTTCTAACCACTATGCTGTACACCTGAAACTAACACAAAGTAATATTAAATGTAAACTGTAATTGACAAAATTTTAAAATGTAAAAAAATAAATAAATCATTGATGAAGGGGGGGAAAAGCAATAGTTACAACAAAAAGAAACTATTAAACAGACACACACAAAATAAATAAAATTGCAAATGCCTATTTCTTTTCCTTAGATGTCAACCAAATGAAGATAAGTATTCTTTGAGAAGCTGCAGTTCTGATTTCGTTTTTGGAGAAAACATGATAGAAAGAGTGTTGGTAAGAGTTTTGCAAATGTTTCTTTTCTTATGTAGAGAGCTGTCACTTCAAATGTCTGAAGTCAAATTAATTAAAACAATGTTAAATTGGAGCATACTCTCTAACTCCTGGGTTCAAAGGCAGGTTTTCTTTCTTTAACTGGAAAGCTTCTCCTGGGAAGCTAGTTTTAGTTGTTAGAATAATAGACAGGAACCCACAGAGGAAGAGAATTGTATAATTATAACATTACTGATGAGAAATACTAAATAGTTCTTGACTTGTGTCAAGCCAAAAGTACCCAAGGAAATCCCAGAATTATCTGCAATAGTTAGATAAGCTCCACTGATAATGATATTTTAATATAGTTTTCCAATAGCATTTTTTATAATAAGATGCATTTAAAATCATTTGCCAATTTTTCCTCATTAGCCACAGCCTTCCCCTTCAAGCTCTTACATTGGCAAGTGTTACTATAACCTTTTTGGGTTTAGCTTAAGAGGAAAATCACTTGCCTGGGGGAATCTACTTGCCAGGGGGAGACCCCTGAACTATTATTCCTGCCATCCTCTTGCATGAGGCCGTTGCTGCTCTGCCCGCCTTAGGGCATGTCTCTAAAACAGCTCTATCTATGCGGGGATCACGCAGCAAAGTGAAAGGTATGGAGCGAATGTGCCTGTGCTTGAACCTGGCCCATCACACCTTCCTACTCTTTCCAGCTTTTACCCAGACCGGAGTCTTGGCTAAGATAGGCCCAGGGGGCTAGCTTGCCTTATGGGCTATTAGTCATGCGAAGGACCCCAAGGAGGCTGTAGAGATTTAAAAACCCATGACAGGGCTCAGATCAACAGAAGGGCCACCTCACGAGGCCAGTTTATTCCAGGATTCTTAGGGCTCCTACAAATCAGTCACTTTTAAGATTTAGTTTATTTCACACCTGCCTCAGGCTAAACCCCGATTCTAAGAGCAGTAGCGTAGTTTTTGAGTTTAGAGGCACCCTTCTGTCACTCCCAAAATGAAGTCCACCCCTGCAGTCCCAGAGCTGTTGACCCACCCTTTGCATCTGAACCAGAATGGACCAAATTCCAGAGTGAAGTTCAGGCAACATATTCAGGCACATTTACTCCATAGCATTTATTCCTAAATGTGGCACCACATTTGTAAGATGTCACTGACAAAGATAAAATACTTTNAGTTCAGGCAACATATTCAGGCACATTTACTCCATAGCATTTATTCCTAAATGTGGCACCACATTTGTAAGATGTCACTGACAAAAATAAAATACTTTCTAAACCTTATAGGGTCAATCTTAACATTCAACTCAATGTAACAAATGTATTGTGTTGTTATGGCATATAAAGCATTGGCGTTAGTGTCAACTTTGCCTGTATATTAGACATCTGGTGAGCCTTTAAAGTATTTCTTATGCCTGGGCATCTCCCCAAACCAATTAGATCAGAATCTCTGTGGGCGAGACCAGGTGTCAGGCGATTCTAATGTATAGCCAGGCTTGAAAACATACAAGCAAGTGGTTGTGCAAAGCTAAAGGAGACCCCAGGCTCTAGAGGTGCTTATAGTTTAGTAGAGAGAAACGGAGACCAGTACAGAGGAACTAATCGGGATCATAAATTTACTTTGAGGAGGCACTTGTGCACTTTCCTATGGCACTTCACTTTTGTTTTACAAAATAACCTGCACTTTCTGTCTCTTTAAGTTGATAGCACCCTACAGACAGGAGCAATGGAGATAACTTCTTTTTGTTCTCTAGTTAATCCTGTAATCCCTTGGCCCTGTGACTTGGGGGCCAGGGTATCCTCCTGACTGGTTAGCTGACCATGTGCTCTTAGAGTTAGTCATTAAGCTTTCTGCGCCCTAGTTTCTATTTTTTTTAAATGAAAATAATTATACCCATCTCTACCAATTTTAACAGAATATCTTGATGTCCAGTTAAATAATGTGAAAGAATCTTGAGTTTATAAGGGAAATGATAGACACCTAAGTATCATTCCAGTTTTCCATGTCCTGCAGGGGGCTCAGTATCATAAGTGGCAAGGCAACCACTCAGTTTTTTTCACACAGGCCTTGGTTACAACACACGTGCAAAGACCCACGTATGCAGCTTAAAAGTGATTGTTGGCAAAGCTGTCTTGGAGGAAAATTAAGATTGTTTCTATGATCTCTGAGACAGCTAGTGGGTTCTCTGGATAATTTTATTATTATTATTATTAGCATTTTAAAAAATTATCCCCCGAGGATATGTGTATTAATTTTAGAGAGAGAGGAAGGGAGAGACCCAGGTTCAAACCTGTAACCTAGGTATGTGCCCTGACTGGTAACTGAACCCGTAAACTTATGGTGCACAGGACAATGCTCTAACCAACTGAGCCACGTAGCCAAGGCTGTACACACACACACACACACACACACACACACACACACGNAGGACAATGCTCTAACCAACTGAGCCACGTAGCCAAGGCTGTACACACACACACACACACACACACACACACACACACACACACACACATATGTGTATGTGTGTGCAGTGAATAAAAACTGAATTGCTGGGAATACTGAAGTACCTTGAAACAGGTAATAATCGTTGCAGCTCCTTGCAGGGATCAGGTTAGTCTGGTGTAGCGTGGAGCTGCTGTTACCTCCGCCTGGGCCTCTAAACTGCCTCGCATTGTCTCGGGAACTAGATCCACTCAAGTAGGCTGGTGGTCACTGGGTTTTGGTTCCTGAGGTTCAGCACCAAGGTCCTCTAAGGACAGGGAGGAATTTCCTGCCCAGCATTAGGGAGCCCAAACCAAAACACAACAGCTGGGTTTGTTTGCCCTTGTGTTAAAACAGAAGAACAAAGGTATTTTTTGGCTTACTGCAAATATATGAGGGTGAAATTAGTAATGCGTCTTTTTTCCCCCCCACACAGGGTATGCAAAAACTCACCCAGCCTCAACTCGAGAATGATTCCTATGCCAAGGAGAAAACATTCAAATCCACTCTAAAATATCCTATCAACTCTCCAAACGCAAGTAAGAATTCTTTCATTTGTAAAACATTTGGTTCAACTAGTTCATTTCCTGATTTCCCATGTTATTTGTTTAATATCTATAAAATACGAAAACAATAGTCCCGTGTTTTAACATTTGTTGGTAAAGAATAAAGCATGTAAATATGGTTACATAATATAGAAGCTTTTTGAAATTTTTGACTTCATGATATGGGGAATCATTAAAGAGAGTTACCTAAACTCCAGAATGTTGGGGTTTTTTTGAAACATTCATTTTTGTTATAAAAAAGTGGAAGAGACATGTTTTATACTGCAACAAAGGATATTCAAAGTAGAGAAAATGGGGCCTTTCATGTATTTCCCCCCTATTTCCTCTTAGGAACAGACTCCATTAAAAATGTATCCCTAATTGAATCAGCTGCTGCTCTCTCTTCTAAATCATCACCAAAATGCTTGCTGAAGAAAATTGATGTGATAACAGGGGAGGAAGCAGAGTACAATGTGTTGAAGGTCTGTGTATCATGTATCGCTCTTTCTGGTAGCACTTACATACGTAGAATAAAGTTACCATCAGCAGGGACATCTTTTTGCAAAGGCAGAAATATAGTTTTCAAGAAAACTGAGCTGCTTAAATAAAAATGTTGGGCACTTCCAAAAATTAAACCAGCATTTTGTTGTATTCTTACATTTGTACGTGTGATTTGTAGGAAAATGGGTTGTTGGGTTTACAGCCATTCACATTAGTCCCTTAGGAAGAAGACAGCTCAGGACCCTTGCTTAATGGAACTTCGACCTATGTTTTATACTTTCCAACCTGCTTATATAACCAGTGCTACTATCATATGATTTAAAAATTCAGCTTACACCGAAGGTTTTAAAGTGCTGGTAAGATGAATTGATTATAGTTCAAGAGGGTACAATAATTTTGTGTTCCTTTTGAAAGTTTTTAAGGAACTTCTGAATTTCATAAAACCTAACATTTCACAGATGTAGTACACAGCAGTCTCGCACACAGGATTTGAATGCTGAGCCTTCTAGGTATCAGTCCAGGCACATGAGGTATAATTACTACAATGTAATTATTTTTCAACAAGGCACGAATTTCCCTTTGTCTTTCTACGTCTGCTCTTCCTCCAGACTCTCACCTTTCCTCTTCTCTTCCCCCACAATCTACTAGTACATTTACTAAACAAGGGTGTCTCAGAGCATAACCTCAGATCGGACTAGCCCTAGACTTATAGAAGTAATCGCTAGGGTGAGACCCAGTCATGCTGTGTTTTTAACAAGCCATCTAGGTGATTCATGCACACAGCAATATGTGAGAATCACTGGTATTTTAAATTATAATAGAGTACTCTGGTATCACATCTTAGTTCTCATGCTAAATTCTTTAAAATATTTTAAGCACACAGATAGTTCCATGATTACTTTCAAATAAATCACATAGCCCAAATAACATTAAGTTTAATTTAAAAGTTGGTGTATATATATAGAGATATATAGGGTGGGGCAGAAGTAGGTTTACAGTTATTCATATGGAAAATAATACAATAATTAATAAGTAATAATGCAAGAATAAACTCTGTTTTGTGTACTCACAACTGTAAACCTACTTTTGCCACACCCTGTATTGTTAAGTGAAAAAGAAAGATACAGAAAGTAGTATGATATTCTACCATTTACAGAAGAAAGGGAACATATATATGTAAAGGGAACATATATATGTATATTCTACCATTTACAGAAGAAAGGGAACATATATATGTATCTGGAAAAATAAACACAGTATTAGCGACAGTGGTTACCCATTGCAGGGGGTAGAAAGTATAGATGGGAAGCCAGGGCCGGGGAGGGACTTCTCATGTTGTACATCTTGCTTTTTGATGTTTGAATATTTAAAACTTGTATGTTTTTATAAGTTAAATAATATTTAAAAGCTGATGTACAAAGTTTATTAACAAAGTTTATTAACAAAGTTTATGAACAAAGTTTATTCTGGTAAAACATCAAACAAGTAAAAGTATAGAAAAGAATTTGAAAAAACTTTCCATATATTTGACATTTTAAAATACTGTCCTTCAGATCAACTGCAAGCTTTTTGTATTCAACAAAACAACACAGTCCTGGACTGAAAGGGGCCGAGGAGCTCTGAGGCTGAATGACACAGCCAGCGGCGACTGTGGAGCCTTCCAGTCAAGACTAGGTAAGGAATCCTTTTGTAAAGCAGGACGCTGTCTTGGGGTAAAATTGCCAAGGTAGGTGCATGTCATTTTCTGGAGATGTGTCACGAAATGTGTCAGTAAATCACACTGTTGAAAACAACATTGTTTCCAATGTGCTATAGGAGCTTCCTGGTGTCAGAGGACAGGGATTCCAGTTCTGGCTCCCTCATCGACTAAGTGGTGACCTTGGGCAAGTTACTTAACCCCCCTCTGCCTTAGTTGTATCATTTTAAAATGAGGATAATGGCCCTGGTTGTGGGTTTGATCCCTGGTCAGGGCACATACAAGAAGCAACCAATGAATGCATAAATAAGTGGAGCAACAAATCCCCCCCCTCCCCTTTTCCTTTCTCTCTCTAAAAATCAACAAATAAAACTTTAATAATATTCCATAACTTATTGAGTGATTGTGAGAATTCAGTGAGATAATGCATGTCAAGTACCCATGATAGAGCCCACCACATACCTAAATAGTAATCCATTATTACTTAAAAGAACAAGGTACACATTATTTAAAAAGTGAAAACACTTTTTCTGAAAGAGGATATTTGCCCTATAATTTACTCTTGCCATTCCAAACACAGTGTGCAGGTTGGGAAGAAGGATCAGTTTCCAAGGAAATAAAGGTGTGTGGTTATTGAATCCTGTAGACGGAGTGATGGTTGGAACCTGGACTCAGTCAAACTGACAGACTCTGGAGGTTTTGGGCATCCAAAAGACACATTGGCCCTTGTTCAGAGGCCCAAACTAAAAGGGAGCCCAAGAGAGACCTGGGTGGGGTGGAAAGGTTTGGTTGACGGGTCAATATTAGGCCGTCAGAGCTGTGGAGGAGACCACAGGTAGAAGTTGGATCTAAGTGCATGCATGTTTGCTGAGTTTCAGGTATCAAGCTCAAGAAATGGGAAAGGAGTAGAATTCAGACTAAGAGAATAGAAGCAGTGTCTTCAGTTCTGTAATTGGCAAACAAGTTTCTAAGGAACCCAACCAAGTATTATTCCCAAGGCAGGTGCTGGTTGCTTTTCTGCTCTGGTTTAATTTCACTCCTTCCACCGCCTGCCAAAAAAGCCACAAAACAACTTTTATTTTTTATTATACAGGACATACATGTTCATTATAGAAGACAGAAAATATAGATCGACAAAAATAAAATAAAATCACTCATAGGCCTATCTTCCTGTGATAGCCTCTGTTAACAATATATTCTTCTAGACTGTTCTCTATGTACATAAATGCATACATATATTGAAAAATGTGTTTCATGGTGTTTATATTACAACTGGATTTCCTCTTTTTACATAGTATACCATGATCACCTTTCTACATCAATAATTCTTTTTCTTCAGTATTCTTAATGGGTTCATAATACCTTGAATAGCTGTACTATTATTTATTTAACTCCATTTCCGAAAGCTTAAAGTTTTTGTTTCAGTTTTCTCTGTTTAAAACAATTTTTGAATAAATTCATCAGAACACTGGATCCTCAAAAGAGTTCTACAATTTTAATCATTTTAATGGTATAATAAAAAAATATAATTCCAGCATTTTAACCAAAAACAGAAAAATCCTTTAACACAATAAAGCTTAATTTGAAAACCAAGTTATAATCTAGTCAAACTTAATAGTGAAAATACAATCTGAAAAATAAGGACAAGATATTTTACTTTGCTTTCAACAATGGGAAATTTCCCTGGAAGGCTAAGAAAGCAACTGTTCTGTAGACTGATATATTTGCCTTCGTATTTCAGTTATGCGCAATCAAGGCAGCCTGAGGCTGATTCTCAATAGCAAACTCTGGGCTCAAATGGAGATTCAAAGGGCCAACCACCAAAATTTACGAATAACAGCTACTGATTTAGAAGACTACAGCATCAGAGTGTTTTTAATTCAGGTAAGAAATTTCAGTGATAGAGAATTACCCACCCTACTAGATTTAAAGATCTCTGTAATTACTAATTTGTGAGGTTTTCCCCCCCATTTTATTATGATAACCTGTATTATTGGAAAAGAATGAGCCATTCATTTTGGTTGTTTACGGTCTAATATAAGACCTACATTTTACATGAAATTTAGAAATTAACACCAAAATCTGTAATAATCCGTTGGTACCTGTTCCAAGACATTTTTATTGATATATGCCATTGAACCTCTACATTTTTCTTTACTATTGAAATTATGTCAACAATCTTACTAAGTTACCAAAGGGACTATTGTCAAGATTGCAGAATCCATAGACTGACGGCTGAAATTGAGAAGGCTTTGAGATCACTGGAAAGGAATGGAAAAACACAGGGCTAGCAAGATAATCAGTCCAACAGCAAATTCCAATTCTGAACATGAGTCAGTCACCAAGGTAACAGGATGGGAGCACAGCTTCAGCTGTTTCCTGCAACAGGAATGCTTGACCTTAAATAGAAGATATCCAGGCACAAGAGACAGAGCTGGAAGGAATCAGGTCAGAACAAAGGCTGGGTCTCCCCTGTGGGCTGAGACCGGGAAGACTGAAGAAAACTGAATACCCAAGTGACTCCGGCAGAAGCAACAATACAACCGAACTGGCTTCCACAGAGTAAT